CGTCAGGTCCTAGACAGTCAGGTCCTAGTCAATCAGGTCCTGGTCCGTCAGGTCCTGGTCCGTCAGGTCCTAGACAGTCAGGTCCTAGTCAATCAGGTCCTGGTCCGTCAGGTCCTAGTCTGTCAGGTCCTGGTCCGTCAGGTCCTAGACAGTCAGGTCCTGGTCCGTCAGGTCCTAGTCAATCAGGTCCTGGTCCGTCAGGTCCTGATCCGTCAGGTCCTGGTCCTAAAAAAGGTTCATCTCCTCCTGCTTGTGCTTTGAGTTCTCCTTGTTCTCCACTTCCTGTCCTGATGATGTCATTTCCTGTGCTCTGCTTCCAGCTGCCAGTTCAGCCGTCTGGTCGAGGAACGGAGGACAGGGAGCATCATCGCCAAACTATGAGGCTCCTCTGCATTCGCTGGTGAGCAGAAACACGCCAGGCCTTCCTCAGCGGTTAGACGTTCCTCAGCGGTTAGATGTTCCTCAGCGGTTCTTTAGATCCAGTCAGAGGAACCTTCCAGGAGGACCGTCTCCATGTCCCTTCCCTCCATCCTGAGCTCTGCTGATTGGTCGATCTGGTCTTCTGTCCAGGGAGACGTCAGCAGAGCATCAGGAGCCAAACGACAGCTTCCTGTCTGTAGCCATCATGGCCGCTCTCTGTAACCTCAGGGTCTATGTCCTCTACTTCCTGTTTCAGCAAAGTCGCATTGAGGACCGCCTGGAGCGTCTGGACGATGCCATCCACGTGCTGCGTAGCCACGCCGTAGGGCCGTCCACGGGGATGACGGGCGGTCACGGCGACATGCACGGTCTGATCGGAGCCGCACACACGCACAACGGCGCCATGGGTGGACTGGCGAGCGGCTACGGGACGGGACTGCTGTCCAACAGACACTCACTGATGGTAGGCGCTGTTTGATGATGTCACTGCTGGGTCAGAAGGACCGGTTCGGCTCCGGTTCCTCTGCTGAGGTCATTTTATTAAGATAGTTTCATCTGGTGACTCCATGATGTTTTAACCAACATTTTATCAAACTGGTTTCCTATAATAAAACACGACTTCAGCTCCAGAGAAGTTAAATAAACATTATTTCAGTTCTTCTATTCTTTCAGGTAGACATGAATTAATTTATCTGGTATGAAGTGAAACGTTTTGAGGCGCTGGAGCTCAGCAGTGAATATTTTCCATATTCAGGCCATAGAACAATAAACAGCTGCAGGCTGTGAGGAGACATGGAGGCAGGCTGGACAGCGGGCATGTCGGCACGCCTCAGGGCGCCGCTCCGCTTCAGCTTAGAGGGTTTGACCTTTTAGAGAAGTGCTGAAAGATTTAAGGAACTGCAGAACAAGTCCATCATCATCATCATCGTGTCATTGATGGCTGCACCAGAAACCAGACTGGTTTAAACTGGATTAATCTCAGGATGTGTCAGGGAGGCAGAGGTGAGGTTCTTGATGATTGAATGAACTGTTAACAGACAGCTGAGGCAGGAATCCAAAAATCAAACCTGAAAAAAAGTCAAACAAACCAGAAACCACGGAGACATCAGAGGAAAAACAATCACGATGAGGTAGACTCAGTGAGACGGAGATGGAGGAAGTTAGACGAGAAACCAGCACTGAGGAACGGCACAGAGAGAGTATTTATGTGAGACAGAACAAAGACAGGACTAACGAGCAGATTGGGAGCAGGTGTGAACAGAGCAGACAGGAAAGGAAGCTAGGGAAAAA